GTGAGGATTAAGTGGTGTCTAGATGATGGATGGATGGTTTTTGCTTTCGATAGTTGCAGAACGTTTTGATCGCACCTCATACTGAAACTTTGGGAAAAACAAGCCAATGTGTAGTAAGTAAAAAAGTTCACCACTAGAAGTCTGTTATAACTGCTTATTACCATTTATTAATCTTTAAATATGGTTCCTCAGAGCAACAGGCAGCTAACCTAACTTGCCCAACACATATAGTGCTGAAAAGCACAACTCCAACGTGAAAAAAGTTGATTTTGTTCCCACTAATTTTCTGCTAACAAAACAAGACAGTTTCAACAGTTCGACACCTCAGCAGTGGTCTCACCTCCTCTCAGCAATGTGGTGATTACAGGCACATGGTTGGTACAGGCCGCTGCAGAGACACAGGTTGAAAGTTGTCACACAAATACGACACTGGTGTCCGTTATCCTGCAGTGCATTTGTTCATTTTGTGGCAGCTGCACAGTTGTGTGAAGGTGAAACCGCAGTCATGCGTTACTGGTCACAGTGCTACAGGTTTTATGAGTCATGGTGATTGTTCTCTCTCACCCAGATGGAGGGGGGTATTTCCCAGACTGTCTCTCTGGTTGGGGTCGGCACCATGGCTCAGCAGCAACTGCACTACAAACATGAAGAAAAAAGGACATTTGAACAGGATTGTTAAAATTCTTTCTCCTATTACTGCTGTGTGCAAGGTGTAGAAAAACCCTTCATGAATATGAAAATTACATGCAACAGCAACCGACAGCCTGAGGACGGATGACTCTTGTGTTTTCCGTGAGGGTAGAACTAGGTCAGCAACAGAAGACCACATTTATTTCGCGCATTGTTTACTGACATGGTGGTTTGAACCCTGCACCACCAAATTGCAAATTGATTTCCAATGGGAGCATCACGACAGCGTCACCAGCTTACCAATGCTCTCGTTTCCATTGCAAGAAGAGAAATGAAGAGCTGTCCTTCCCTTGTCATCGGCTGCACACGGGTCGATGTCGTCTTGCAGGAGTTTTCGCACTGGAGGAAAAAACAGCATCATGTAAACACAACCTGACACTGTTTGTGCTGCCGTTTACTGGATCAGCTTGTTGTTCATACCTGTGTCGATGTCATTGCTGTTCGCTGCTTCCCTCAGCCTCTTCACAGCTGTAAAGATAAGACATCTAAAGTGAGAACGGGAGAGAAACACTGACAAAGAAGATTTGTGTGCAGAAACAAACTGTTGCGAGGAAATATTTTGGCTACAGAAAGGAAGACGTTCAGCAAAAACAGGACCTTCGTCTGTCATGTCTTGCAATTTTTGAATCTACTCGAGGAAGCACGACTAAATAAAAAAAAAAAAACTGGCTCGGTGGTTAGCACCGTCGCCTCCAAGCAAGAAAGTTGCTGGTTCACGTCCCGGTGAGGTGGAGTCTCCACGTTCTCCCCGTGCAGCGTGGGTTCTCTCCGAGTTCTCTGGCTTCCCACAGTCCAAAAACATGCTGAGGTTAATTGGTGATTCTAAATTGTCACCATGAGTCAGCTGGGATAGACTCCAGCCCCCCACCACCCCAGTGAGGATTAAGCGGTGTATAGATCGTGGATAGATGGACTTCAGGGCTGAACTTCTTCTTCTCTTCACCACCACCTGCATGCCTTTTCCTGGACTACACCTTTACATATGATTATAGCTGCAAATCATTATGAATAAGACTAATTCCAAGACACACAGTTAAAAAACTTTCAATCCAGCTACTTTACACTCACTGTGACATTAATGTAAAGATGGGCAAAGCATAGAAACTGAGATAACCTAGAGCTCAGTGTCTCACATCTTACATTGATTTTTACTCTGGATTAATTTGGAAATGGTGCAATGATCAGGTTAAAGCCCGTTAACCCCATTACTCAAGATCCTAACAAGGACTCTGATACATCATACATGTGTTTTCTAATGAGGGTTGGCAGTGTAAATTCAATTTCCACATAAGACATCAGCATTTCTAGCTTGTGTTTGGTGCCTACACCTCTTCACACACACCTTGTCCACTCACTGACCGTCTATATTCTGTGTATAATGTATTTATTGGGTCCATGTGGCTGTTCCTCACCATAGATGTCTTTCCCGATGGGACCCAGGCTCCTCACGGCTCTCTGGTGTCGCCTGGCCCGGCTCCCCGTCATCTTCCCCAGCTTCCCCCCGACACCGGCCGCCCCGAGCTCCCCTCGTCCGGGCTCCCACAACAAGTGCAGGTACCTGAGCTCCTTGTCGTCTCTCTGTCCGACTCGACCCAGCACCACCTTCCCCTCCCCGATCCCGCTTATCCCGAACCCTACGGCGGCAGCGGCGGCGGCGCCCACGTCGTCCATCCCCTCCGCGTCGCCCCGCTGCTCCCCGTCCGCCGCCTCCCGGGCTTCTTCACCTCCGGCTCCCTGCTCCACCATGTACTCCCCCTCGGAGCTGGACCGCTCGTTATCCGAGGCGACGACGAAGCTCCAGGCGTCCATACTTCACCGTGACATGGGGACGCGACGCTAGCTCGCTTACAAACGCTCCTCACGGCTCCTGGCGAAGCTTCAGCGAAACGCAGCCGTCAGAGGCAACTTTGAATCTGGCATCAGCGCCGCCCGGGACCGTCACACGGCGCGTCCCGCCCGGTGGAGCCCTTCCATCCTGGAGCAGCTAGTGTGTAAACAGTGGACACCTTTTTCCTCCACAGCCCAGCAAAATGTCCCCGAGTTCACATTTTCCATTCCATCTGATAAAAGTAGTAACAGGCACACCCATTGTACGCTCAACAGCTCCGGGGCACAAGCGACCAATCAACTTCCGCGTTGTTCGCTCGCTCCCGTCCAATAGGAGCAACGCAACCAAGCAGCCAATCAAGCCGCTCCCGTGGTGGACCAATGATTTTTCGGCGCATGCGTACTATGAAAATCGAGCACAAAAAAAGACATTTGAACGCAACACAAACAAATGAACCATGTGTTTCCTCTTTTATCTATATAGATGTAGATTTTTTGTACATAATCTTATTATTATTTTTATTTTTTGTTTTTTTTATTCCTTTTTGCACTGTTTGGAAATTTGATTTATTTATTTCTATTTTTATCTCTCTCTCTCTATACATTCATACATATATTTTTATTTCTTGTGTGTTTTATTCCATATTCTTATTTATCTTATTATTATTGTTTGGGTGTGGAACAGGTGCGCGTTACACCGTGTATAACCGTGTTCGTGACCAATAAAACACCTTGAATCCTTGAATCCTACGTTTAATCCTTCTAGAACCTTAAACGTATAATCATGTGTGACACCCACCCTCCACCCGTAGAGCTTTACATAATACAGATTTCAACGATATGAAAATGACACAGTGTGATGCATATGAAGAGTTCAAAACAGAGAACTCCATCCTCACAAACCTTCAGAAAAAACACGTTTCCATCGTCCATCTGAGACAATATCTATCAAACTTATCTCAGTTTTTGTCTTTTCTACTGAGTTAAATCCACTCAGCTTCACTTTCATTGATTTTATCTCAAGCAAACAACAAAAAGTTTTCTGAAAATCTACAAAAATGGAGTTATCTGTTTTTGCAAATGAACTCTTCACATAAATATTTGTGGGGGATAATAGTAATACAGGAGCTTTCAAGGCTCAACAAACTCCTCCAGTGATGTGCACTGGTTTCCAACCTGCAGGTCTGAACCCAAAAATCAAGTGTGAGGGGCGAGAATTGATTAGCAGAAGTTAAAATACACAATATATGTGTCGCGCTTTCTTCTGTCACACTTAAAAATGATTAAAGTAAAGAAATAAAAATCAATCTTTGGTTGAAAGAGTTTGGGGTAGAAAATCAAACCAAAACAAAGGTTGGGAACCACCGTTCTGCAGGACGGTATGCTGTCCAAATATTTGGTCTCGCAAAAGGGACAAAATGACGACGGGGTGCTGGAGGTAGCAGCTCTGAGAAACAGCATCATGTATGGTAGCAGTAACACCCGAAGGTAAAACAATCACAAGTCAAGTTTCAGTCCTGAAGACATGGAGGCTCCAGCTGGTGCCAGGTAGTTGGGGAACGCCGGGTCGGCCCCTGATGTGCCAGCGTCTTGCTCGGCGGGCGCCGGTCCGGCATCGTGAACGTGCTGCCGCGGCCGACCGCTGTGAGGGACGCCCTGATGCTTCAAGTATCCCTGCTGACAAAACTGCGGCGGCTTACGGTGGGTAAGAGACAAGCGGAAACATGATTCTAGAAGAGAAGGAAACACAGGAGGGAGCCGCTCAATCATCTCACGTTAGGCAAAGAAAACAAATACATGATGTCATTATTAGAGGTGTGGGTTAAAGGTGCAGCTTGTCTAGCATGATGGTTTGTGATTCAGTGTGGACGTAAATCTATTCTGAAATCCACTCGTCATTAACAGAATTCTTGCTTTAACTTTTCAGTGTAGTTTCCCACATTGTTGCTAACATTTCTAAAATGCTATGCACACCAAACGATAGAATTAATTAATCTGTTGGCTGCCCCGTTCCCCTCCCCGACAGACATTTATACACCCGGTCACCAAGGACAGTTCACACCCCGGTTCTCAGCTGTTTGAGCTGCTGCCCTCTGGTAGGCGCTACAGATGGTCCAAAGCAAAGACCAACAGAAACCGTTTATTTCCGAGAGCCGTCACCATCATGAACGCTCACATGTAAAACATCCACCTCAATAAGACTCCTCCACTGTGTGCACTATGTAAACATCCATAAGCCTTATGTAAATATTCATAATCTGTATATAAATAATAATCTGTATGTATAGCTCCATCATCTCCTGCAATATTTCTTACATTTTTTTATTTCTTTTTATATATTTATCCTTTTTATTTTTATATTTAACTGAGCGATTTTGCACTTTATTTTGTTTTTTTTGTTTTTTTACTTCATCCATTCATTCATTCATTCATTCATTCATTAAGCCTCCTTGTTCATGATTTGTCACACAGCAGCAGGTTAAGGTCTCCAACATGAGACAGAGGCTGTGCACTATTTACATAAGTGCCACAGCAGCAGCAGTGTAATTACTTAAAACCTCTGATGTGGCATCTTATGACAGAATTATGAGCCAATAAAGATTTCTGCACTGCAAGCAGGTAAAATGCTGCCACACAAAGTTTTTTAAAGGAGATGTGATGTAACTGACAAGTAAGCAGAATAAAATACATTTTTTCTGTTGGCTGGAACACTGGATTGGATAATTACTCAAGTTAACACTGGTCTAGTTGTTTTTAGACATTTTCCTGTAGAAATGACACATCATACCTTATAGTAAATAAGAAGAATAAGCCTTTAAGTTACTGTAGAGACTCTGCTCTGTAAACATGTTGCACATACGGTATGAAACAGGGGACACATGTTATGAATAAGCAACAGATCAGCTGTCAGCTTGCTGCTTTACCTGCATAGAAGGCCCTGAGGTCAGTGTGGACACAGTGCTCCAGGAAGCGTCGCAGTGGCTGGATGTGAGATATGGGACCGTCCCATTCAGTGAGGAAGTCCTCCACCATGTGATGGATCGCTTTGGGCCGTGGTAAAGGCCAGCCGGGGGGACGCAGCTTCATTTCTTCCTCTGGGGAAAAAAAAAACGAACCTACATTAAAAACTTTCAGTTGGAGTTTGTTTGCTGCAAAAACTGCAGTGTTTTTCTCCTCACCAGTAGGAAGTGTGTCGTAGTAGTATAAAACAGGGTGCAGAAAGTTGGACTGCCACGCTTTAGTCCAGTCTGTTTCTGCCCTGCTGCGCCCCAGATAGTCGATCTTCTTCTTCCCGTACTGCATGACGACAACTATCAGTCCGTGGCTGGAGACCTCGCGGCCAGAAAGGGAGGAAAACTGAGGCAAGGCCTGGATCGGAAACTCCTCCAAGTATTCACAGTGAGAGCTGAGGGTCAAGGAGAGAGGAGGACAAACACATGACAAGCCTGAAGACGACTTGTGTAGCTTTTCCTCTGATTAAAAATATCAGGTATGTCATCTTCTGAAACATAATTTGGTGAAGAGGAGAATTATATGAAATGAGTCCACACAGGGACCTGATGATACGGTTACAACATCATCTGTTGCTACAGGAATTGCCAGAATTACAAAAACACATATGATTAAGCTGCTGGGAGTGTAACACTTCAACATGAAACACTCTGAAAATGACTCAGAGGAATTATACAGTCACGGTTTGATCTGGGTTTCTCAATAAGGATTTAGTCTTCTGGTCATCAACCCACTGCTAACTAATTAAACTAACGACAAAATGGTTTAATGTGTGTAGAAGCCAATAACGTAATAACTGGCCAATAATGTAATAAAAGTCCAGAACCAATAACGTAATAACTTATTACATTACCGATTCAGGACTTTCATTACGTTATCGGCTGTTATTACGTTATTGGCTTCTACAAGGTGTCAACAACTCCTCTGATTGGACGTGGCCCTGGGATGCTGGGAATGTGAGGGTCCTTTTAGATCCACCAGGAGCAGGAGAAACAACCTGCTGCAGTTAATCATGTAACATAAAAAGAACAGACGAGCGACCTGAACTAATCCAGCTACAGCAAACTCATCTCATGAATAAAAGAACGCAACTGGAAAAAAGCTTATTTTTACCGCTGATACCAAAAATAGCGTCCGCTTACCCTCGAAGGAGAACGACATCCCCCAGCACCTCAAACATTTGGTACGGCCCAGAGGCCTCGCCGACCCGCTTCAGAATCCAGGACTGCAGCTGCGTTGTCAACAGTTGTGTTGATGGCCACCGGTTGCTATGGTAACGGCGTTCGAGCACACGATGTACAGCTCGTGCTGCGGCAGAAAAAATTCCACAGTTAGTATAAAGAACCGCCACATTTAAATGTGCAGCTTGTTTCCATCACAGAGTTCATGGTTCACGTCTGTGCGCCATCAACTCTGAAGCTTTTTCAACCAGTATCGTTTTAAAATGTCACAGAATAATGAACACTGGTGGATTTTTCACCTGTGTAACGGAATCCATGGATGAAGCCTCCGGCGGATGAGCGGTAGTCTCTGGAGTGGGCGGCGGTTCCCAGCACAAACAAGCCCGGCGTGTCCTTCCCTTCATACCAGGCCGTCACCCCCGGCAACCTGCCTTTGGCGTTTTCACTGTGTGGTGGGCAGGCGGAGCTGAGGAGAGGTGGAAAGACGTGAACATTATGTAAACAAAGCAAGCTCTTTTTAAATATAAATTTAGCAACAGAGAGGGTCATTCATGACAGAATCGTACATGATGCTGCACAACTACCAGGTGTTCTGACCCGATTGTAATTTCAATGCACATTTCCAACCTCCAAACAACATAAACTTGAATGCTTAATGGGTGTAATAACTTTTAGTAGATATGTTTCATATTATGTATGTGTGTGGCCTAAAGTGAGCTTATAATAATGTAGGCGTAATTATTCATCACCTCAGGGCCAAAAAGGAGATTCAGCTGCAACACTCTTGAGAAAGTAGAACTACAGGGGTTGCAATAATGCACAGAGAAATGCCACAGTGTTCTAGGCCTGCAGCCCGCCTGGAGGGTCCACAAGTACAAGCGCTCAGAGACATGGTTGAGGTAAAGAAGGCTGAAACACCAACATGAGATTCACAAGCTGAAGCTGAAACAAGGGAAACTGTGTGACCTGCTATGATGAAGGCTGAGCTAGTTGGGCCTTTTCATGATGAAGATGGACTAAAAATCAACTCGCAAAGCTACTGACAGCTACCGGAACATACTTTCTTCAAACAGTAGCACAGGAATCAGTCTGCAGCCGTCAGGAAGGCCGCGATGCTACCAACGCTCCATTCAAAGATGACCCAATACTGACCTACTTATCTGACTTAAAACCTACTGAGTTGCTGTGATCTTGTCTCAAATGTGAGATTTACAGCCAGGGACAGTGTCACACCTCTTTGAACAACGTTTAGGAAGCTGTGTTTGCTGCTTTCAGTGAAAGATGATCATGTGAAACTGACAGAAAGAAGAGCGGCTATATTGGTCCCAGAATGCTATTTAGCTTCTGTGTTCGTTATTTCTTCAAATGTGAGAAGAAAAAAACGAGTTCAGAGTTTTTTTTGTAACTTAAATGCCTAATAATCGCTTATTCCCCTAAAAAAGACAAAACTCGCCTTCCCTTTAAGGCTCAATGACATCCTGAATTGACTGAAGACTTTGCACTTGTTTGACAACACTTAGTGAATCCTCAGAGACATAATTTGCCTCATAATTGTCCACGCCGTGCAACAACAGAACAACAGCCGACCGTGATGTACGAACTCATACCTGTCAAACACGCTGAAGTTGAACCGGAATCCAAGGCACCGGATCACGCGGTCGTACGGTTTTCTCATGGGGAAGTTGTCGATGTGATGCCCCGGCAGCTCCTCTCCCGTCACATCTGAGCCGTTCTTCTCCTCCCTGCTGTGGACGTACTTCTTTAGAGTTAGATACAGCTGTCTCTTTCTCTCTTTCTTGCCTCCACCAGATCTCCTCCTGCTTTGCTCCTTCCGCTGAGCGATGACGATCTTCTCCAGGCGAGCCTCCACCAGCCCGTCCAGAGACTTGAGCTGGTACGTGTCTATCAGCTCGTTGTTCACGGCTCTGGAAAGCAAACACAGCGGGTCGGTTTACGCTAAGTATCCTGCTGGTTTTTGTACAAAGCAGATGCATCCTTGATTTACCTGAGGTCTCCGACATAGTGCGTTTGCCAGGCCAGCCGAACGGGGCTGGAGCTGAGCATGTGCACCCGACTCGCTCGTCCCAAGATGCTCTGGGCTGTTTCAAAAGCCGAGTTCCCCTTTCCCAGAATCAGCACCGCCTGGTCCCTGTAGTCCTCGGGGTCGGTGGAGATGGACTCGTAGCCCTCGACCAGGTCAGAACCCACAAACTCGACCTTCTGAGGGACCCACAGTCCGGTCGCTACCAGCAGGACGCTGAGGAAGAGACGACAAACAAGATGACATGCAAAACAAACGAGAAGCTCTCGTCTCTGATGGACCTGACGTACCTGCACGTGTAGTCCGACGTGTGCTGATCAGTCAGGATGTAGCTCCGCCCGGCGGCCGACTGCGCCGCCCTGATCCGTCCGATGTCCACGCCGTACTGAACCCTCAGCCCGAGCTCCTTCACGAACATGGACAGGTAGAGGGGGAAGGCGTCCGCCGGCGGGTAGAACTCGCTGCTCACTCTCCTGAACAGCAGCTCGGGTTTGTCGCTCAGCAGGGAGTTCCAGTCGTGGCGCAGGTTGAACTCCCGGTTCCGCCTCCCCGTGTGGATCTTGTTGATGCTGATGAGCTTCCTGTGCCTCGGATACCTTCAGACGAACAAAGGAGGACGCGTGAGTGCAGCTCTCTTTTGCTTTTTAACGGGAAACTTCCAGCAAAGTTTCTTACTTGTTGAAGAAGCTGCCCGGTCCTGAGTTCCTCTCCAGGATGATGTAGTCTCTGTTGGCCTTGGAGAGGAAGTAGCCCATCTGCAGCCCAGCAGGCCCGGCTCCCAGCACGCAGTAGCCATAGCGACGGGTGCTGTTGTGGTGGCGGCTATCGAAGGAGCTCACGACGGAGCCAACCAGCGTGAAGAGGAGGAGACAAGGAAGGCTGGGATCCATAACCTGTGTGACGGTAATTAACACGTTAATAATTACACATTAACAATGAAACAGTAGATTTTTACACATTATGTGAACTAAACAGTGGCTTTTAAAACCTTTTCATGGTATTAAACAACCGACAACATTTACAGAATACTTGATGTAGCTGTTCTTCATCATTAGTACTATAAATAAGAACATGAATAATAAGAATAAAAGGTGCAAACTAGCAACTGCTGAGGGAAGATATGGAAAAAACACGTCCTTTAAAATTACTTCCCTGTAGTTCACACGCTGTTTTTACTTTTTTTTAGGACATTTTAGCGCCATAAAATTTCAACTTAGAGTGATTTTATTTCTTTTACTGACAGTTTTCATCTGGTTGAAGATTGTGTTAGGCAGATAAATGATAAATTAGAACTATTCCTATGTTTACGAAAAGATTTTAACTACAAATACGAGGTCCAAAATTACCCCACTGGCCCACTGACACAGGTTTTCTGGACCACTGGCTGAAAAACACCATTCCCAGCACCATGCTGCACCATGCTGGTGTTTCAAAAACAAAAAAAAGCCACATGTCTCAGTTTTACTTTTAATTACCTGAATTGTCTTGTCTTGTACTTGTCTTTTTAATTCTACATCAATTTCTCACCAAACTGGGGGCCCAAGATTTTATAGTCTTGGAAAAACACACTCATTAAAACTGAGAAGCTTTTAAATATTATGCACCCAAGTACTGGAACAAAACTCAAAACCTGTTGAGATTAAATCCCATTTGACAGGTTTAAGGCCCTGGTGTCCAACAGGGAGCAGTACGAGTGCCCCTATTGTTTTTGTAAAATTTAAACTGGAAAACTTCCCCAAACTCCGAATGGTGGTTTGAACGGCCGGGGGCGTTAATTTGGAAGGGAAAAGCCGGAGAAAAAGCCAATCCGGGCAATTTAATCCGGAATTTAAACGAAAAAATGGGGTTTTTTGCCTAATGGCAACCCCAAAAGGCCACCAAGGAAAAAAAAACCCCAATGGGGCCTTCCCCCTGTATAAATAAAGGCTAAAGAAACAAGAAAGAAATGATGACCAAACGCTCTCCTCGTTGTCCAGGTGAGCAACATCCTCCTCGGCCGGTGTCCATGGAGACCACGGAGATGCTCAGATTCATCCATTCATCTTTGTACTTTCTGATGTTGTGGCCACTGGCAAAAAACCCACTTAACTCTGGCTTCATGGTGTTTGTGAGCAGGCAGCTCAGTGGCAGCATCACTCAGCTCTTTGGTTCTAGTCATGACTTATAAAGTAGAACCGACCAGAACCACCAGAACAGAACAGAAGCTGCATTTTTAAAGTAAATTTTGCGCCTATTTCAAAAGATTTTACTAATTTTGCATATGAAATTCTCCCAAAAATGTAAAACCAGGACCAGGATGGTGACAGAAATCCAGATTCTGACCATTTTCTGCTGTTCCAGGTCTGTTAGCCCTCCTACCTGCCCCTGTGAGGGTATTTGGGCCATGATGGGGCAACTGCCTCCCCACTCACTCCCCAGCATTAAACACAAATCCACTCAAAAAAATAATCACTAAACAGGAAGATAATGCCATAAATATATCGTTCCGAAGCGGGCGAACCTGTGCTAAGAAGCTAACCAGCTCCGGGTACCGATCCCCGGCTCCCCCCTGAACTCCTGCCCGACGTTACATCACTGCTCTCGGGGTGCGGAGGCTGCCGCGTCCCGCTGAACCAGATGTGCGGTTCTGCTCGTATAAAAACGCAGAAACACGGAGACAAACGGTACCTTTTACATCAGCGGCTCCCTCGAGTGTGACATGTGGGGTTTCGGAGCTCTCCAGGCGGCTACATGTTGGCTATTTAGCATTTTAAACCGCGTCCCGGGAGAGCGACTGTTCCTCGGATCGTCCTCCAGCAGCGGCTCGCTCCCTCCCGGAGGAAACACCAATGGAGGGCCGCTGCATCCACCGGGGGGCGTGATCAGGAAATACCACCGAGCAGGGCAAGACACTCACCAAGATACACCCAACACATGTAAAAAAAATACCCTGCTGGGGAAAAGAAAAAAAATATATAAACTTGTTTAAAAATCTTACAAGTACATCTGCTTTCTCTCATTTATTATCCAACCAGAGGGCCTCAAATCAAACTAAATCAAGTTAATTATCATTTTGGTGAACATACACAGTAGTACAGGTAATATGCAGGATCCAATTACTTAAAGCAATTTAAATAAAGAAGTGTTTGCATATCTAAATATAATTCAGTAGGGGGATGTAGTTGACCCTGTCGCCATGAGTTCACTGAGCTCCAGTAAACTATTGTTTTGTCTAATTTACCACAAAACAAGTGTTTTCTTTCACTAATCACACTTGGCCTGGTTGTCCAAGGTTAAATGGCTAATATCCATGTAATAGTAGACTTTATTTATAGGCGCCTCCTTTCAAAAAAACTCAAGGACACCTGACAAGCAGAGGAGGTTCTAGACAAACTTTACTGAAGGGTTTAACTACAAGGGTACATTGAAAACAATGATATTTAAGCACTAAAAGCTTGTATTTACTTTATATTAAAATTAACATTTCTGGCCGATATCAATATCTGATATCTGATATTAAGATTTCTGATAACCTTTTCTGCTCGGATGTGTAAATTCTTGTTTATATTTGTCTTATTATCTTGTTTTATTTTTCATTAGTATTTATTGTATTTTATGTTATTCTTTTCTTTCTGTTGTTATTTTACTTCATTTTTCTTTTTTCTTTTCCTATTTCTATTATTCCTGCTAATTCCGAGGGCGAAACCAACAGCCAAAACCAAATTCCTTGTAAGTTGGGTACGTACTTGGCCATTAAAGCTGATTCTGATTCTGACCTATAACCGATATTGACGTCGATATTGAATTTTTGCTCACACCGAATAATCAGTATAAGTAAAATCTGTGAGAAAACTATTCAAAAGAAACCCAATTAGACCACATAGTCTTCTTTATTACGGAACAAAAGTAAAACATGTTCAAGCATATTTTCACATATTTAACGTTTAAGTCCATTTAAGTAAAAACATCTGTGAAATAGCAGCAACATCAACTGTAGAGACGAAGGCACTGATGTTAGACAATCATCGGCTAAATTTGTTCATCGGACCGATATCGATATATCGTTAAAAGACTAATATCGGCCGATACCGACATGGTTGCCGATATATCCTGCAAGCAAACAGGTTTACATGTTTTTCCATCCTTGGCTGTGAATGTTTACTGAGTGGAGTAAAGAAACCATGAACTCACTCACATTGTCTCTAAATGTGACTTAGATTAAGTAGAGTTCACCAACTTTTTCTTGCGACTCATGTTTTGTTTTCTGCCGCGTCATGTTTTGTTCCGTCTGCTTTGTCATGTGAAGCTTTTGGCCGTCTGAGTTCCGTGACTCGGCAGTCACGCTTCCTCTTTGACTCAGCAGCTCCAGCTCCATATAAAAGAGGAGGGAGGCGGCTGAGAGGCCACAGCAGACCGAGAGCTCTGAGGAAGTGGCAGCTGACGGAGGACGCACTTGGACTTGAACACTGAATGTAAGTACGACGTGCTGCTGTTTGTAGTGTTAGATGTATTTGTCCTGCACTAAACTAACCTTTAACTCACTCTGGATAGATGGAGGCCATGAAGAGCGCAAGGAAGAACGACACAGGAGACGTCGGCAGGTAGGACAACCTGAAGTCACCCACAATTCTGTGGTTTTCTCACTTCTTTCTTTTAATAACGTGACCTTTCTGTTTGTGATCTCAGCGACTTATCGGAGCAGATCAAAGCAGCCACTAAGGACAACCACGTCCGAGCTGAGAACACGCAGCTGATGCTGAGCTACCAGAAGGGACAGATCACTCTGCCGCAGTACAAGGTACCCAGCACAAAATAAAAGAAACCAGCACTCGTTGTTCTGCTATTTGGTGCTGAAAGTGGATCTTTGTGCTTCTGCCAGGTCCTGCTGTGCTCTCTCTATGAGATCTACAAGGCTCTGGAGGAGGAGATGGACAGGAACGCCTCCCATCCAGCTGTTGCTCCCATATACTTCCCTCAGGAACTCGCCCGGCTGGAATCCCTGGAGCAGGACCTGGAGCACTTCTTCGGCTCAGACTGGAGGAAGCGAGTGATCGTCCCCGCAGCCACTCACAGATACCAACAGAGGCTACGACAGGTGAGTCTGCAACCGTCCACAGGTCCAGATAAAACCAAACAAATCAGCTCAACGCGTCTCTTCTATGTCAGATCGGCAGGGAGAACCCGGAGCTGCTGGTGTCCCACGCTTACACCCGCTACCTCGGGGACCTGTCGGGCGGGCAGGTGCTGGGAAAAATCACCCAGAAGTCCCTGGGGCTGAGCAGCAAAGAGGGCTTGTCGTTCTTCTCGTTCCCCGGCGTGAGCAGCCCCAACCGCTTCAAGCAGCTGTACAGGAGCCGCATGAACAGCATCGAGCTGAGCGAGCAGCAGAAGGAGGCGGTGCTGCAGGAGGCCGTGGCGGCGTTCGAACTCAACATCCAGGTGAGTGAAGACAGAGGTTTACTGTGCAGATGAACACTTCACTGACCAGCAGTAGCTTCAGCGGTCGAAGCTGTTTTTGTCATATTGAATCCAGCAGAAAGAGGAAGTGAATCTAACCCATGCAGAACAAGCATTCTGCCATCCGAACTGATAACTCGTTTCCTGCAGGTTTTTGACGACTTGCAGAAAATGCTGAGTGTCACAACAGAAGCCGCGGAGCAGCGTCCGACCGGCAGCAGCTTCCCGCCGCCTCTCATCACCGTGCAGCTGGCCATGGGGCTGTGCGTCGCGCTGGCCACCATCGGCGTGGGGATGTACTCCCTCTGAAGCTTCAGCTGCCTTTATGCACAAACTGCACTTTACTCAATCATGACTGTAATCTGTGTCTCATCGATAAACTGCCAAATCACTCAACTTGTCTTATAAACCAGCCCAGTATCTGTAACGTCTTTTTATGATTCCTGTTTAATAAAATAAGCTGCACCATCAGAGTTAATTTGTTTTATTTGCTTTATTTTTTATTTTTTTACACAACATTTCATAACATCTTTAAGTTCATACAAAGCATCTTAACAGTGACATCATTTATTTTTACTGACTAGAAGTTGTTCCAAGATGTCAGCTGGCAAATAGAACGGCACAAAAACTATTTACATCAACAACAATGTGGGTTTTTTTTCATTAGGTTGCTCTACTTGACTCTGTAGAGAACTTTCCTCTGCATGCGGTGCTGAAGCTCGCCCCTCCTCAGCATCAGGTGCAGGACTTTGTAGATGGCGTGCTCTGGATATTTCTGCAAAACGGACGGACAAACGGTTCAATTACAGGATTTAAACTGGGTTCCTGATGGACTGAAACTTGTATTCTTCTCTCATTTTCTGTTACCTGCTGATTTATGCCATTTCAAACCATTAAAATACCTTCGGTGCAGCACAAACAAAGCCTAATACGTCCATTATCCCATTACAACAAGTATTATTGGGATCTGCAAGTTGCTCTTGAGTCAGAACTTTTACTACACTGTACATCCAAACACAGAATTAGACTATTGAGTGGGTCAAATCTGCTCATTTTATATATTTTGCATTTAAAAAAACAAACAAAAAAACCTGCACACACTGTGGTTTGTGTTCATTTGTGCACAAACTTGACCATCGTGCCTGTTTTCTCATGCATGAGAGAATAATGGAAATAGAGACTGAATATAATGTGTTATAATTAATATATTCAAAACATCATATTCTGATGTTTGGTCCCGATATGCGAGCTGATTAGTGCGGTGTTGAGGCCTTGTTTCCCCTCAGACGAACCTGTTTGGTGAAGTCCTGGACGATGCTGTGCTCGGACACCTGCGAGCCGATGGCGAAGCGCCTCTTCAGCTGCTTCTCGACGCGAGCGATCATCTCCTGGTCCTCCTGAGAAGTGAAGCCCTCCACCCCTGGACGCAAAACGTGGTTGGAAGAAGAGACGTTAACGGTTGGAAACTACTGCAGACGTGTTCAGCTGCCGTAACTGCTTTTAGCCATTTCGTTGCTTCTAGCTAACCATTTCTACCATTTATGTGCTACTTTTAGATGACTGTGTCGACTTAAGTAGTTAATATGTGGATATATTATTTTAAAATTGGTTGCACGACTCAACAACAAGGGTGCAAATCCCCCTGGAGTGCATCATATACAGCTGGGTAGACATTTAAACTAACAGGATTTTTTACAGTGATGCTATGACACTGCAGGTACGTCATTAAAGTCTGAAACTCTCCAGAAGCACCAACACACACCTGAGAGGCTGCCGGACAGCGCAGCGTCCAGCGTGGAGACCTGGAAGAGCCTGAGGGCCTCATCGACCTCCTCTTCTCCAGCCACAGCCTGCAGCTTCATCTTGGCCAGAGACTCTGCGATGCGTACGACCGCCTCCAGCTGCCTGCAGAACAGAAGCGTACGTTATTACTCAAGAGCATTCAGGCATCAGCGTCAGAGTGGAAGGTATCCATGCTAAACCTACCTGACAGTGATGGGGATGGAGGCTCTTTTGTCGGTCTCTCTTTCGTGCTCCCTCGCTCCACTTCTCATCACCACGTATCTGTTCTTCAGCTTCTCAGCCGCTGCCGCCGACAGCCGAGGACCGCATTTACTGTGAGAAGCAGAACAAACGATGAGCCAGAGTTACCTCAACACAAAGCTCTGATAAACATGAACGCAGGTCCACTCACGTTCTTGCGTAGGCGATGTACTTCTTGAACGTGGCCAGAGGAATCTCGCCCTCCACGCCTTCGGTCTGCGTCTGAGCGCTCAGGTGGACGTTCATCACGTGACGAGCCAGAGTCTACAACAGATTTACTCAACCATTAGCATCACGGTGAGGATTTAAAGCAGCAAAATAAAATGACTCCCAGCCTCCTCACCATGTCTCTCTGCTGGTCGTGCTGGTCTTTGATGATGAAGATCATATCGAAACGGGACAGGATGGTGGGCATGAAGTCGATGTTGTCCTCCCCCTTCGTGTCGTCCCAGCGGCCGAACACCGAGTTGGCCGCCGCCAGAACGGAGCAGCGGGAGTTCAGGGTGGTGGTGATGCCGGCCTGGGAGGAGACTGGATGTTAGCTTGTGCGCCTCGCTGCAGCAAGAAGATTGAATTTGAAATGCACGTGTGGGTAATACCTTGGCGATGGAGATGGTCTGCTGCTCCATGGCTTCGTGGATCGCCACTCGGTCGTCCTCCCTCATCTGAACAACAGAAGTACAGTCAGCTGAGGCTTTTTCTGGGTTTATTTTAAAAGCAACACAACTCCTGCTGCTCTATCTCACCTTGTCGAACTCATCAATGCACACAACGCCACCGTCAGCCAGCACCATGGCGCCCCCCTCCATGATGAACCCACGGGTGTTGGGGTCCCTCAGCACCGAAGCAGTCAGACCGGCCGCACTGCTGCCCTTACCCGAGGTGTAAACCTGAGGAGACAGCTCAGCATCAGGGGGGAATCTGTCCGTCTGTTACTACAGGAAGCTCCATCAGCTCAGGAGAACGGTACCTACCCCAATAGGTGAGCATCTCTCCACAAACTTGAGCAGCTGAGACTTGGCAGTACCGGGATCTCCCAGCATCAGCAGGTTGATGTCGCCCCTACGAGTGAGACCATCAGGTAGCCTGAAGAGGAGGCAAAGCATCGCCACACATGTAAGGAGGGAGATTCTCAATAAAATAAAAATCTACTTCTAGAGGAGGGAACAAGCACCTCTTCCTCGAGCCTCCAAACAGCAGACAGGTAATGGCCTTCTTCAGATCATCGCTGCCGTAGATGGAGGGCGCCAGAGAGTGAGCCAGAGAGTCGTAGACTTTGGGTGAAGCCGCCAGTCCTCGAAGTTCCTCCTCCTCCTGCGGGGATACTGATCCGGTAGTACCGCGACCTGGAAGACGCAAAGAAAATGAGAAGACATAGGGTCATCTTCCGGCGAAATGCAGCTTCTTCTCAGCTCGAGGGCAGATTTCGAGGATGGAACACACCTCCATCTTTGAATGTGTCAAACTTTCTTAGCAAAAATCCATCTTTACCTGCTCCTTCTGTGTCCATCTGGATGCCGACCACTCGCAGGTAGGAGGTCCGAATCCCCACCCCGACACTTTTCTCTTTGCCTTTGGTCTTCGTAGCAGCCATCTTCTTGATGGAGTAGATGCCCATGATGGTCACCCTGTTGCCTGGGACCACACGGTCACACAGGTACCTGAGAGAGGACGAGGAGGAGGAGGAGGAGTCGTTTTTTAGCATCACAGCAGCAGAAAACTTTAAATTAAACTTTGAAGATGCTCCTTCACCTGTCGCAGTAAAGCTGGAGGTGTCGGGGCATCTCTCCGTGCGGCACAGCATCCGGAGACTCCTGCAGGCGGAGCGTCTGGAAGTCGACGCAGACGCAGCGGTCCGGGATGATGAAGTAGGGGTCCACGGGACACTTCACCTTGCCGGCACCCTCACTAGGAGGAAAGTCAATTCGTTAGTGGTCACACTGCTTCAAGAGTTGGAATAAAAACAGCAGCTCCCGTTGCTTGTACTCACTTGTTGCACTTGCGTGGCAGAGCGTAGCCCTGCAGGCCTGGAGGCAGAGGGATGTTGTTGATCATGGCGCGGCAGCCGCGACACTGCAGACACACCCTGGTGGCTTTGGCTTTGACCGCCGTGGCCGAGATGATGATGCCGTGAACCTTCACCAGACGAGACACCTGCTCGGACTGCAAGATGAAACAGTTAGCCGACCGTCCGCGAAAGCTACAGGATGAGACGGAAAAAGAGGTGTGCAGGTACCTTGAGGCTGCGAATGGAAGCGTGATGTGCGTCGCTCTTCAGCATGACCTGGACGTCCTGGACCGTCTCCTCCCCGACAGGCCGAGGACGAGTCACCTCATCGGCTACGTCCTTCGCAGCTTCCTCCAGCTGAAAGGTAGAAAAGATCGTGAGAGAATTTGAAGGCTTCATAGTTTTTGCTTCTATAAAAAAGCAACACAGAGTTACGGGAAGACCATCTTTAAGGTGTGAAAAAGGATGATTTTGATGCACAGAAAAGAGTTTTCAGGGATTTAATCAGCACAGATTTTACTGAAAGAAGCAGACAGAAAAGTAAGACGCTCACCAGCGGCAGGTTCTCTGAAGGCAGCTTGTACAGACAGTCGGACAGATCCTCGTCAAAGCTGGCGAGGTCCTCCATCTCCACCTCCACCCAGTACTCCCCCAGGGTGTAGTGTCGCTTCAGCTCATCTCTGATTTAAAAAATAAATGTAAAAAAAAATACATAAATAAATCGTGTTGTGCTGAAAATCCAGAGCCCCTGTGCAACACGAAAACAACAGGTTCAATAGCAAAATACTTATAATGTAGCTTTAGCTTGAGTTAACTGATCTTCCTGAAGCTTAAGTTTATCTTAAGTTAACTGACATTACTTAAGTTTAGCCTAAGTTAACTGCTCCTTCTTACATTTTTGAGAAAGATCCGTTAAAACAAAACTTCTGATGCTCATATTTGCTTTAGTAGCAGATTGGACAACACCGCCAGTGGCAGAATGTAAAAAGGTGTAGATTTTAGAGGTGGTGCAGCAGGGATATATATAAAACATGTGTATTTGTCCACCCCCTAAACTATGCACATTTTGGGCGAGCAGAAATCTCCCATAAATAGACACGTCCAGCATAAACTGATGCAGAAAAGTCAAATGCTGGTGCATAAAAACAGGAGAAGCATCTAAAGTTCAGGCATTTTAACCTTTACCAGCCTAACAATAGCAGGATCCCACATTTCCCACAATGCAACTCGCCTTTCTTGAAGCCACCTGCCTACTTAATGCCCCTTTACTTCAAAAAATCGACATCCTCACAATATAGGAAGCTTCTTGCTAAAAAAAAATAAGATGATCCTGATTGTACATGAGGATTTTTATTCAGGTTATATTAACATGTGTTGCTAAACAAACACTTTTTTAATCCATGTGATGAGCTCCATCTCCCTCCTCTCTCTTAATAAAGTCACTAATTAGGTAAAATCACCTGTATTTGTAAGTGAAGCCGGTTCGGTCGGTTCCCACTCTGAACTGCCGGAGGAACTCACGGAACCTCTTCTTGATCTGGATCCTCTTCTGTCCTCCTTCGTCCACTCCGGGTCCCTCTCCTCCTCCGAAGCTGTCGCTATAATAAACTCCCGGGTCGTCGAAGCCAGACATTCTGATTCGGCTCGGAGGTCCAACACACGAACAGAAGCTGAGAGTAAAGAAGAACTACTTTTTCTTTCTGAAATATCTGCCGGAGACAAAGCTGCTCAGCGCGACTGTTTCGCGGCAAAAACTGAACTCCTTCCCGTCTGTTTCCCGCGAGCTGCCAGTGGCTCCTGTCCTCTGATTGGCTGAGAGGAAATGCCGCCCGTTCTGATTGGCCGGAGGGGATTCTGGGCGGCGTGATGTCACAGCAGAGGTGGAGCGTGAGGGAAGAGATGGCGCGAAAAGAGACAAGAGGAGGAGGAGAGAAGGAAGCGTGGGAGGAAGAGAAAGAGTGAAGCAGAGAGACGCACGAACCAGACATTAGACACGTTTGTTTGTTTGTTTGTTTTTTAACACGTTTTTAAAGGAGCTCTGTCTTCACTTGACTAAAGAGTGACCTGTATTTACAATAATTCTGGTTTAGAGTAGACTTCCGGCGAGATTAATGCCTGTAGGTCTAAATAAAATAATAACTAAAGCTCCTGGCATGTTTAAAGACATAAACATGGAATAATTATTTGTGCCAGATGTTCTTTTAATAAGTTTATTAACTTTGCTGCTGAGATTGACTCTTTTGCTGTAAAATTCACATTCAAATATCCTTTCTTTGTGTAGCTACGATACAAGATGTTCAAGTTCATTGCACATCCCACCAACATGAGATGAATGTAGTTGTGTTAGATCCCAGCAGAACTCTTACAAAGGCCGCTCTCCACTCAAAAATGTGTTGAAGTTTTCTATTTTTGTACATCTGCTCTTGACATATCTCCTTTAAAAGACAGCATGTTCTGTGTAAAACCTGACCTCTGACTTCTTAAATAATATTTAGCCATATTGTCAGATGTTCTGGTCGTTGATTAAACCACTAAAAAAATCATCTGTGTATCAAAGTTAGAAAATGAAAAGTATTTCCCCCCCCCCATGAAGTTAATCCCTTCCTGCATTAAAATGGGTTAAAGGACGATCTATGATCCCTAAGTCCCAACCTCTCCCCAACTCACTGCAGCTCGAGCACACCAGCTCACCTGCTCAAACGCTGTAAAACAACTCTACGCTACACAATGGCACACGTTGTAATACTGAAGTAATTCAGCCATGCATGTTTGAACTGGGGGGCAGCAAGGTGGCCTCGCAGCAAGAAGGTCACTGGTTCACGTCCCGGTGGGGGCACCGGAATCTTTCTGCGTGGAGTTTGCATGTTCTCCCCGTGCAGCGTGAGTTCTCTCCGGGTTCTCCAGCTTCCTCCCACAGTCCAGAAACATGTTGAGGTTAATTGGTGATTCTAAATTGTCCGTAGGTGTGAATGTGAGTGTGCTTGGTTGTCTGTCTCTAAGTGTAGCCCTGTGATAGACTGGTTACCTGTCCAGGTGAACCTGCCTTCACCCTGAGTCAGCTGGGATAGACTCCAGCCCCCCATGATCCTAGTGAGGATTAAGGTGTATAGATGATGGATGGATGTTTGAACTGCAAACTGATTCTAAAGTAGTATCGGTTCCTTGTGTTTGTTGCGTATTAAACCCTGGATGTGTGAGTCCTTGTTTTAGAGACTGTCATTAGTACTCTGCAGTTTTAAGGTGGAAATGCTCAGCCATGGTTCCAGCAGATCTAAAAACCCCATGTGCACATGTAAACAAACAAACAAAGTCTCCAGGTGAGCTCTTTAAAAGTTGGGAATGACAAGCCCGTTTTTCTTAACTCTTATACATCTTTTCACTAAAAATTAAGACCATCAGCCCTCAGATTTTAACGATGAGTTTAATGTACCATAATTAATGCTCACAGTCCAACAATATCTTCGTAGTAGCATCACTAAACTTATCAGTATTATCCTCACAATCATCAAAATATCATCTGGACAGTAGATGAACTTCTCGTCTAAGTTCATCTACTGTCAACAGGATTCAACAGACACATTTTCTCTCACACATAAAGTCGTGTGGGGGAAATATGGAATTAGTAGCCCTTTTGTCTTCAAACACAAGCACCTAGACTTTAGCAAAAAAAGTGCTTTATTCAGCTGAGCAAACATACAAATAACATTTAGCTCCATTGACCTGCAAGTGTAACCGATATTTCCATCGATGCTGTTCGTAGGTCTCGAGTAACAAGCAGCGCGATCTGCAGCGGCAAGCAGTTTGCTGATTCCTTTTTCTGATTTCTGTTTGTTCAGCGGATTCAGGAGACGACTCCGTGCTTCCTGCCTGTTTGGATGAAAGCGTCAACGCAGTGGTCGATGTCTTCGTCCGTGTGCGCCGCCGAGATCTGAACGCGGATTCTGGCTTTTCCCTTTGGTACGACCGGAAAGGAGAATCCGATCACATACACTCCTGTGGAGGGAGGAGACTCGTTTAAATCAGATGATCATTTGTTTTCAGGTTCAGACACTCGGAGCTAAAGTTTCGCCGCCTCACCGAGCTTCAGCATGTCGTCGGCCATCACAGAGGCCAGCCGTGCGTCGCCGAGCATCACAGGACAGATGGGGTGAGCCGAGCCCGCGATGGTGAAGCCGGCCTTCGTCATCTTGTTCCTGAATCTGATAAAGAAAAACATCCCAGTTAAAACCACAGACGGAGAGCAGGTTAACCAATATCTCAACTATACTCAGCTCTACTCAACTGTCTGGTGGAGGTTCCTGATTTAAACCCCACCACACAGAGAGCCCCACCGTTCCTCCAAACAAACCCACCTCATGGTTTTGGCCGTCATGCTTTGTGCAATCTCGTTGGACGCCAGCAGCAGCTCCACGGCTTTGGTGGCACAACCCACCACGGGAGGAGGGAGCGAGTTGGAGAACAGGTAGGGCCGAGAGCGCTGCCTTAGCAGGTCGATGAGCGGCTTAGGACCCACTGTGTAGCCACCTGAAGGAGAAATAAATATTGGAATCAGGAACATGGCGGTGGAGTCACATGATGGCAGCTGTTTGTTAAAGTCGCGTGCATCAGGATGCAGAGGTTGTGTTCTTGCCCTAGAACTCCTCTACTCCCACGCTGCCAAAACAACATTAATCAGCTTTAATGCAAGCAGCAGAACTTGTGTTATTTTCTAGATCTGGTACCTGCTGCTCCTCCCAGCGCCTTCCCCAGAGTGGAGTTTACAATCTGGACTCTGTTCATCACTCCGAGGAGCTCGTCTGTTCCTCTGTAGACAAAAGAAAGGAGTCAGTTCACCTCCTCTTTGTGATGGTGTGACACAGAGCTTCACTTCATTAAAGCACATATGTATGCTGGAGGATTTTCGTTATCCTGACTGTGGAGACACCTAATGACAAAAACAGTGCAGCACAGAGGATTCGTACGATCACATTTAGTCTCTAAAGCAAATCTGGTCACATGCTCTCCTTCTGTTCCTGAGTTATTTGATTAGAAATAACGTCCATGAAAAGGGTTTTAACTGGATGTTATCATGTCACAGTGACAATTACGTTTTGGATATAAAATGTCAGCACTTCATTTTGTCCTATCAGACATTTGGGGGAAGTTTTGTCACAGTTAATGTATGAATTTATGATTTAGTCAACCAAAAACATGTGATTGTGACCACCAAACTCTAACCAGCTCATCATCGAATCCAAGTGAACACTCTTCCTAAACTTGAACAAACTCCCTCAAAGTGTTTGGAAGAATGAGACGAGTGCACAACCTGAAAACATGATGCGTCTTATGAGTACAATCCAGCGACCAGAGTGTTTTACAAAAGGCGAGGAGCACAAGGCATTCTGCCATCATCCCATTTAAACTGTGCAGTTTTACCTCACAGGACAAACTGACAATTAGGATACAGAAACCTATAAGATTTCTGCAGCTGTTGTTCAGTTATCATCTCACCCACCTGCCCCGGGCTCCCAAGAATCCAGTGGCGTGACATTCGTCTATGAACACCATGGCTCCATACTGCTCGGCCAGATCGCAAATCCCTTGTAAAGGAGCCACGTCTCCGTCCATGGAGAAGACTCCGTCTGTCACCACCAGACGCATGCGAGACGACTGAGGAGGAACAAAACGGTACCAGTGATGAGTGGAGTCGACACCGGTCCTGTTACAGTCTAATCAACACTTTAACCCTTTCCTGATGACATAAAGTACAGTAACAGTAAAATCACTTACTGGATACTGGAAAGGGGAAATGTGTTCAGATTGTGGTTCATCCAAAATTACAAAACTGCTTATGCAAGCCACATGTGGTTTGGGTTTTTGTTTTCCTCGGTTTTGTCTTCACTCAAACCCAACTTCACCCATATCACATAATGTAGTTTACAGGGACAACAGTAACTTACTAAGCCCCTCTCTGAAGGAAACACTATAAATAAACACCGTGCACATGGTTCATGGTTATCAAATGATCTATTAACAGGTTAGTCTCAGTTTTGGACCTATAGGCTGCATCTATCTGCATGTCTGCATCATGGCTGGAAAAGAACTGCCAGAGGAACTGAAAAATTTGACAGTGAGACTTCATAAACGTGGGAAAGGATGCAGGATGTTTGGTCACCAACTGGTGAAAACACAGTTGCAGCAGCAATTAAGAAGCATAGAACAAGTCATGGTGCCACTAATCAGAGCTACAGTGACCGTCCTTCTAAAATGACACCATGGACAGTCGTTAGTTTTACTATCTAGCTTTGAAAAACAGATTCTGTGCAGAGTTTATAAGTGAAAATATGAGTTTGTGCAACAGCTCTGAAGGACGTCAGCCTCCACGTACAAAAGAGAAATAAATAAATAAACCTCTTCAGTACAAAACTGCAAGATAAAACTTTGCCAAAGACCACGATAAGATTACTGGGAGCATGTTCTTTAGTCAGATGGAGTCCAACATGTCTGGTGTGAACTTGGCCAGGACGACCACAGGTTACAGTCCTGACAGTGAAGCACACGGTGGAGTGTGATGATGTGGAGCCGCGTATAAAAAGTGTTGAGGAGATGATATTCATGTCTGTGGATAAACCAAAACACTGGCTGACAAGATGACTCCCAGGAGAAGAGGAATAATCCAGCACGACAAAAGCACACAAAGAAGAACTAAATGAAAGCTATGACTTGGCCAAGTATGCCACCTGACTTGAATCCAACGCGATGCCTTCAGGGCATTTTTAGGAATGTAGGGGAACACAACACCTGCAGTGAAAAGAAACGTCTGTGAAGAACGTCTCCAGACACGTAGTCCATGCCGAGGAGGACAGAGTCGGCCATTAAAAGTAAAAATGGAAGCAGGAAGTTTTTAAAAAGTTGACAAAAAACCATCTCTGCAATAACAGGTGTAGTGAGTTTGCTGCACTGAGCTCCTGCTGTGGAGGCTTTTTACTTTACCACAGGAGCAAATACCTGCTGTTTCCCTTCTGCTGCATGTCGTACGTACTCATGTTACGGCCCTGAGATGTTACAACCAGCAGCTTAAACACACCTGAGCCTCTTTGAGCTTGTGCTCCAGGTCGCTGAGGTCCATGTGTTTGTAGCGCAGCCTCTTGGCTCGACACAGGCGGATCCCGTCGATGATGGAGGCGTGGTTCAGCTCATCAGACAGCACGGCGTCGTCTGGGCCCAGCAGCACCTGTCGGGAGAGCCACCTGATGCTTTACTGACTGCTATGAGGAAATGGTTTCATGTCGTACTGAGACAGGAGACAGTTCACGTAGATTTACCTCAAATAGTCCAGCGTTGGCATCAAAGCAGCTGGCGTACAGGATGCAGTCCTCCCTCTCGTGGAACTGAGCCAACTTCTGCTCCAGGTTTTTGTGGAGATCCTAGAAATTGTATGTTTTGACAAAATAAACTTCATTAATGCTTTACAGAGGGATTCCCAAAAAGGTTACAGTCAAAAGACAAAGTCAGACGATAGGACTGGTCAGGAAAACAGCATTTTTTTAACCAGTCTCGTTAATTGTGGTTTATTTTTTGGGCATAATAGACGTCTTTGTTTATTGAACTGTCAGAAAAAAAATGAAAATACCCTGATTTCAGTCCAATAAGTTAACACAGGCCCCAGCCTTTACAGTGAGCCAGCTCATTATGCTAACTGTTGTTGGTAGGCACCATCTAAAGTCTCATTCTGAGTCAGGAAAACCGCTGATTAACTTCAAAGAAGTTTTAATGCATTCTGTGCTTTAGCCATCATACCTGTGTCCCGCAGATGAATCTGACGGAGCTCAGTCCAGCGCCGTACGACTTCAGAGCCTCGATCCCGGCCTGCACCACCTCCGGATGGCTGGACAGGCCGAGGTAGTTGTTGGCACAGAAGTTCAATATCGCTAAGGGAGAGAGTTCAGACGGACAAAAGTCAGAGAGTCATTGTCTGAGCGCGTCATTCATTAAATGCAGAGACTCTCAAAGTCAGCGCAGTAAGACAATAACTGCTGTGAGCAGCTCAAAGCCTGCGCCACCAATTCAGCTGTATTTTTTGGCAAAAAGACAAAACGGTAAAAAAACAGAACAAAGAGTGTCGGGACACAAACAAAGGCCAGGCAGGACTGTGGCACTGCCATGCAGGTGAACTGACCAGAGGGAGTTTCACACAGGAGGGGTCACGGCCTGAAGTCAAAGCCCCATTCACAAATCAGCAGAGTCAATCTCTGGCAAAGGTTCAGGCTGAAATGTAAACAGTGATCTGCTGCTGCTGCTGTGCAGACAGAACAAACGAGGCCGAGATCAGCTGCTGGAGCGCCGTCAGCTGTTGTTCTTTATTCATCTGATATCAAACCGAGGTTTCCTTTTTATTCTGAAGTTTAAAACAACTCACGGTTGGTAGTATTAGCCATTTATGGGGGAATAAATAAAAGTGACAAAATTTACATATTTCAAGTAGTGGTGAATGATTTGGAGAAATTGTATGTTTTCAAAAAATACATATATAACAGATATTGCAAAATCATTTTTCTTTAAAGTTTCCATTAGATATTTGTTGCGTAATTGATTTAAAACATGTGATGGATTATTGTCAAGAGACACTATGGGAATATGAACTGAATGTAAGTGTAAAATATTTCTTGATATATTACAATATATATTAAATGCAAAAAAAATCTAAATAAATTAAAAAAAATACTTAAAAATGAAACCAAATATAATATAATATTACATAACTGATAATAATAATAACAATAATAATAAATACAAATAATATCAATGTTAAATCCTAAAAAAAGGAAGAGAACCTAATATGAACTGCTTCAAACTTGTGTTTGTTACATTTTTAAAAAAGACAGGTGAGAGAATAGTCATCATACCAGCTGTGACTGTGTTAAGTTAAATAAATAAAGTCATAATAATAAAAAAATAATGAATATAATAATTCCAATGGGAAAATAATGTCTGTAAACAATTTAGAGGGTTCTGAACAGACATTCAACTATTGCTCATTCTGTAATAATGTTAATTATTATTATTGTTGTTAATAATAATAATAATAATAATAA